TATATTACAGATACAATCCTTTATCAGATGTATCCAGATATATGTATTACAAATATATTTTCCCACTTTGTAATTACCTATTCAATTTCTCACTGATGTTTTTTGGTAATAATTTTTCAATTTTAATGAAGTCAAATGTGTTAATTTTGTGTTTTAAGGTTAGTGCTTTTTCCTGTCATGTTTAAGAAATCTTTTTTTACCTCAAAGATGTGAAATTATTCTTCTATTTTTTTTTTTAGAGCTTTATTTTTTGAGCTTTAAATTTAGGTCCATGATCCTCCTCCTTGAATTAATTTTTGGGTTTCCTATGAGCAGGGTTTATTGTTTTTCCCATATGCATGGATATACAGCTGTTGAAGCACCATTTGATGAAAAGACTATCATTTCCCCACTGAATTGTAGTGACACTTTTGTCATAAACCAAGTGACTGTATATGTACAGGGTATTTTTGGACTCTGTTTTGTTACATTTTTCTATTTGTCTATACTTGCATCAATACCACACTGTATTAATTACTATAGCTTTGTAGTCAGTCTTGGACTCTGGAAGATAATAAAGTTTTCTAAATTTATTCTTCTTTAAGATTCTTCTTGGCTATATTAGGTTCTTTACATTTCCAGATAAATTTAAGATTCAGCCTGGCAATTTCCACCAACTATTTCTCCTAGGTTTTTATAGATTAGGTTTGCATTGAATCTACTTATCAAATTGGGAGAAATTGATACTTATCTATTTAGTCTTTTGACTCATGCACATGATATAGCTCTTCATTTATTTAGGTCACCTTTAATTTCTCTCAGCAATATTTTGTGGTTTTCAGTATTAGCCTTATGGAACACTTCTTAAATTTGTTCCTAGATATTTTATTTTTTGATGTTACTATTTTAAAAGTGATATTTTAAAATATTTTTTCCTGATTGTTTCTTCTTGCGAGTATACAGAAATATGATTGATTCTTATATATTGACCTTGTATCTAGAGAGCTTGTTAAATTCACTTATTGATTCTAATAGTTTGAATATTTTTGGATTTTCTAACTTCGCAATCATGTAAGACATAAATGAAGATAGTTTTACCTTTGGTTTCCAATCTTTCTACTTTTTATTTCTCTTTCTTATCTTATAGCAATGTCTAGGGCCTCCAGCATAATGATGAATAAACTCTGTGCTAGTAGACATCCTCATCTTGTTCTTGAATATGAGGAAAAAACTTTTACTGTTTTACTATTGAGTATGATGTGGCTACAGGGTTTTATTACTAGGTAACCTTTTAAGATTAAGGATATTCCCTTTTATTTCTACTTTACTGAGGATTTTTTTTCTAAAGTCATCAATGCATGTGTGATTTGTATGATTTTAATAAAGCCACTCTGTGTTTTTAGCATGGTATATTTTTTGCCATCTTTTTAGTTTTTTTTTTTTTTTTTTTTTTTTACAGAGTCTCACTGTGTTGCCTGGGCTAGAGTGCCGTGGCATCATCCTAGCTCACAGCAACCTCAAACTCCTGGGCTCAAGCAATCCTCCTGCCTCAGCCTCCCCAGTAGCTGGGACTACAGGCATGCGCCACCATGCCCAGCTAATTTTTTTCTATTTTTAGTTGTTTGGCTAATTTCTTTCTATTTATAGTAGAGACAGGGTCTCGCTCTTGCTCAGGCTGGTCTCGAACTCCTGAGCTCAAGCAATCCTCCTGCCTCGGCCTCCCAGAGTGCTAGGATTACAGGTGTGAGCCACTGCGCCTGGCCTCAGATATTTCTTTATAGCAACACAAAACAGACTAAAGCAACACATCTTTACAATAGAGTTGCAGTACACAAGCATTTAATTTATATGGATTCAAGTCTGAATATAGCTGAAAGAGAATAATTTAAATTTAAATACTTCAGTTTTTAACACTAGTCCTGTGTCAGGGTTTAGTCAGAGAAGCAGAACCTCTCTGAGTGATAGAAAATATGAAATTTATTATGGGGAGTGTTAGCCCTTACATAGTTATGGGAGCTGGTTAAGTCATCTATGTCTGGTGTTGGGCCAACAGTCAGCAGGGCCAATGATCTGGAAGAAAAGAAGGTCATGAAATGAGAGAGTAAGGAAAGATCGGAACTGGTGAGAACAATCTGGAACCCCAAAGGACAAACTAGATCCTGTGAGAACAAATTTTAATCTGCCTCTGTCTCTCCTTGCATCGAACCTCAGTGATATGAGTGACCTGTAGGATAAGGTGGTGCCTTTGGAAACACTATTGCACATATACCTGGTCCAGGATTCAGAGATGCAGAATGAGGAGATCTGATCGAGCTGCAGAATTGCAGGCCATGCTGCTGGCCGATGCCTATTCAGTAAGCCAGCAGTTAAGTGCCTGAGCCTACAATGATCTTCAGAGCTTCAGAGCTTCATTTAAATGGGTGCTGGTTTACATCTGCCTTCCAGATCTCACACACACGTTTCTCTTTTGACTAACCCTAACCTAGAATCATATAGGGAAGGGAATTCTGGGAAATGTAGTTCTTTCTTAGCTAAGTTGACACAGTATGAAGCCACTATAAGTCTGCTTCTGCGTAAGTCCTTTAGTAAGCAAGGAATTGGAGATATACATCTGCTATATTTTCAATCTGTCTCAGTTCATGAGTGCTTCTCATAGTGTAAGCATCACACAGAACTGTGTGCAATTCTACTATTTGGTTGAATTTTTCAAACAAACAAGACTGCTTTACTAAACACTAGCCAACTGCTTCATTACATCTCACCTGAAGAAAGTAATCTGTTCCAGTGCTGAGGAAAAAGACTGGTTGCATTGGGTCTGTGAACTGGGAGATGGTATATATGGGTCTCCAACATGGTGCCTTCCTAAGAAGTGATTTCCAGAGTAGTTTTGACCATATCCAATTTTCAATTTACACTTTGACTTTGGAACCCAACCATGATTTTAGAACCTTATACAATAAATATTTGTTAAATGATGAAAATAAATTGTGTGCTTCTCATCTGTAGGGATTTTCTAGTAAGTATTTGTATTCCTCTTAGTAACTAGCAGAGTGCTTGGCACAAATTAGGTACTCAATAGATGTGGGTTAAATTATTTATTGAAGATTTCTATTCTTTGTTGTGTAATGAGTGTCATAAATGTTTTCTTTTTCAATAGGTTTCTAGTTCCCTTAATATAAGCCACTAAATATAGTGTGCCTTGGGGCTTGGGTAAAAGTGACTGCCTATATTCAATACAGGTTTTGCAAAGCAAGTTGGAGCTTATAGAAAGGTATATGTACATAGAAATACTTCAGAAAACTTCAGCCTGGTTTTTTTCCTTCAGTGTTCTCATAAATCCTTCCGCTCTACCTGTACTTCTCTCTCTCACTCTCTTTGGTAAATCGTCTTAAATATTATTAAAGTAATTAATGTTCTTGATAAACAGTAAACAAAGGAGAAAAGTGAAAATAAAAGTTATTGGGTCTCCTCCCCTCCATACACACTTTTACATGACCCAGAAATACCACTGTTAATATTTTTTTAGTATCTTTCCTAAAAAATCCTGTATATTTACAAAAACATATATGTGAACATGTACGCATATTTTAATATATACTTATATTTGAAACAAATAGGACCATATTATGTATAAATACTATTCTATAACTGGTTTTCACTTAATTTATCTTGAAACTTTTTCAACATCAGCACATAAATGTACAGCTTTCTTTTAAGCAAACTCTTGAAAATGTATTCCAATGTATGGATTTACAATTTAACCAGTTCCCTATGATGATCATCTTAGGTTAATTCTAAGTTTTAGCATTGCAAACAATGTTGCACATACATATATCCTTATATGTATCATGCCAATATGTCCAAAGAACACATTCTTAGCAGTGGAATTGCGTGGTTTGCCTAAGCTTTATTATCAACTGAAAAGTATGTATTTTCAGGATATATAATGTTTATACTTTATTAGAATTTGCTAGTAAACATAGGGTCACATGAACCTACACAGCTTCTTTTGTTAAGAGACCTTTGACAAAAGGAAAAAAAGACCTTGGAAGAAAAGTCTTTTGTCTTCATTATTTCTAGAGCCTCCTTTTGCCATCTATAATTCATGAATAATTAGCATTTAAAACTGTCTTCTGGAACTGAAGACAGCTTTTCTAGAGACTAAAAGTGTCATCACCATATTTAATTCAAAATCTAATCTATTGTGAGAAACTAATATATTTTTATAATTCCATTATTAGGATAGAACAATAATCCTGTTATTGCCACTAAAAATTAGCTGGCTTAGCAATTGCTGTCAAGACAACAGTCAGAAAAGAGTTTGCCCAAACACACTCAGCCCCCTCACTATGTGATGCTCTGTACTACCTCAGGACTCTGCAGAATCCCCACCAGCAAGAAGATCCTCACCAGATGTGGGCCCCTTGACCTTGGACTTCTCAGCCTTCATAACTTCTGAACCTATTGCAGACAATGCCACGGAGATCTTGCTCTACCTTTGTGTATATGTACAAGTATATCTAAAGAATAAAGTCTTAGCAAACTCTTCCTCCCCAATTCTCCAGCACCCCATTTCCTAGGAGGGGAGCCGAGGGAAAATCAAAACAAGAAACAAATTCCAGCTCAAACTCGAACCCTCAAGCAGATCCGGAGACTCAAATGTCCGTTACTCTGGGCAAAAAGCATTGCCAGATTTGTCCAAGGTGTTTACAAAAGCTACCACCCTAACCACCAGGTCTCTTTGATACTTGGGGTAAGAGGGAAAGGAAAAAACAAAGTTTTTTTTTAAAGTTACTTCCCAACCTTGCTGCCCCAGAAGCTCCCGAATCACCCAGGCAACCTGGGGCCACCCATCGTAAGGGGCGGGGCCGAGTCCCTCCTTTGACGCCTTAGCAACCAAGCGAGCCTTTGTGGCGTCCTAGCTACGCGCCGCGCTCTCCGCAGGCTGAGCCTGCTCCTCGCCCACACTTTGCTGGGTCTCTCGCTGGTGCGCAGGGCGCAGATTTGCTCACTCTGGCTCAGTGCCAGACAGCTCTTGGGGTTCCTGCGGTGGGAGGGCCCGAGAGCCAGAGCAGGAGAGAGGGACGGCGAGAAAGCATATTTAAATTTATTTAAGAAAGAAAAAAAAAATCAAAAAAATTGAAGATTTTTGCAATTGTTATTTTTAAGGCATATCCAAAGTTCTGGGGAGGAGCTGTAGGGTGGGAAAAATAATTTTTGTGCAAACTCCTTATAAGAAAGGAAGAAAAACCCTTCGAGGACCCAGCACGGAGTAGACTGGGAACCGGAGATGCTGGACACTATAGTCCCTGCTCTGCAGGACCTGGACAGGCAGGTTCTGCCCACGCTGCCCTCGCTGGGCCAGGGAGGTAAGCGGCACGAGGTGGGGACCCTGGGGACTGAACCTTTACCTGCTTCTGGGATAAGGCAGGAGACCTGCCTCCCTGTTTACTGGCTGGGGCCTGGCCTGGAGTGGCTAGGTTGCCTTGGCAATTAGCTGATAATCACATCAGGCCCACACTGGATGACAGAGACAATTTCTTTACCCGCTGCCCTAATGAGGGAAAGGGGCCACCTGAGGGTTTTGATTAAATGAGATAATGCATATACAACGCAGCTCTGGGACTAGCACAAAGTAAGTTCTCAATAAATGCTGGTTAAAACCAAGCACCCCCCCGCCCCACCCACTGCCTCCCTAGAGAAAAGCTGTTGTAAAAGGACCCTAAATGGCTTGTTTTCAGAGTTCATGCAAAGACACAGTTGCTTTTGTTGCCATTGACATCTTGCGGTTGTATTAAGAAAAGGAGATGATCATAAAAGGGTACTGGGTAAGCGTTTGGAAGGGGACCCCACAACTTCTTAGAGAAAACTTACTCGGCTTGGTTAGTAGCAAGATACAAGCTGTTTTTAGCATAGTTTCTTAGAAGAGTCCCCCCACAGTGACATTGAGATCTGTTTGCAAGTGACAGGAGCCATTTGGAAGAAAGGTGCTCCAGAAATATAAGCTATTATTATTATCAAGCCGTTACAACTTAGAGATGTAGCCTAGGCCTTAACCAAATTATTTTTGAAGATAAAATAAATAGGAATGATGCCTCTTCTTTCTCTTTCCCTGCATGACTCCTGTTTTTTCCTGTCAAAATAATTCTAAAAGAAGCATTAAAAAATGGTTTTATGAATTTAAAAATATTTGCCATATTTGTAAGTTTATGTATATATCCATTCAAGTAATTCAAAACCCTGCTAAGTGCCAAGCACTAGAGAACTGATGGTGAGCAAAAATCTTGAAATTTGCAGTCTAGTGGGGAAAGTATACATTGATCAAATAATTACACAAATGTAAATTTACAATTGAGGTAAGTGCTACCAAGGAGGAGGTAAATGATACAATAAGAACTTTTTTAAAAAAAAAAACTATTTTTTATAGAGCAGTTTTAGGTTCACAGCAAATTAAGAGGAAGGGACAGAGATTTCCCACATACCCTCTACCCACATACATGCACAGACTCTCCCATTATCAACATCCTACACCAGAGTGGTACCTTTGTTACAACTGATGAACCTGCATTGATACATCACAATCACCCGAAGTCCATAGTTTACATCAGGGTTCTCTCTTGGTGTTGTACATTCTGTGTGTTTGGACAAATGTATAATGATGTGTGTCCGTCATTACAGTGTCATACGGTATTTTCACTGCCCCCCAAGTCCTCTGGGTTATGCCTGTTCATCCCTGCCCTTACTCCAACCCCTGGCAACCACTGATTTTTCTACTGTCTCCATAGTTTTGCCCTTTCCAGAATGTCACATAGTTGGAATAATACAGTATGTAGCCTTTTCAGATTGGCTTCTTTCACTAAGTAATATGAATTTAAGTTTCCTTTATGTTTTTTCATTGCTTAATAGCTCATTTCTTTTTAGTGCTGAATAATATTATATTATCTAGATGTATCACAGTTTTTTTTTATTCCATTCTCCTATGGAAGGACATTTTGGTTTCTTCCAAGTTTTGTCAATTTTGAATAAAGCTGCTATAAACATCTGTGTGCGGCCTTTTTAAAAAATATTTTTGGATATAAGTTTTCAAATCATTTGGGTAAATACCAAGGAGCATGATTGCTAGATTGTATGGTAAGAAGGTATTTAGTTTTGAGAGAAAGTGCCAGACCATTTTCCAAAGGGGTTGTATCATGTTGCATTCCAAAGAACAATGAATGAGAGTTCTTGTTTCTTCACATCATCACCAGCATTTGATGTTGTCAGTATTCTAGATTTTGGCCGTTTGAATAGGCATGTGTATCGATATCTCATTTTAATGTGCATTTTCCTGATGATATATGATGTGGAGTACCTTTTCATATGCTTGTCATCTATATATCTTTTTTGATGAGATGTCTGTTGAAGTCTTTGGTTCATTTTAAAATTAAGCTGTTTGTTTTCTTAGTGCTTAGTTTTAAAAGTCCTTTGTATATTTTTGATAGCAGTCCTTTATCAGTTATACATTTTGCAAATACTTTCTCCCAGCCTGGGGCTTGTCTTCTCATTCTCTTGACATTATCTTTTGCAGAGCAGAGTTTTAAATTTTAATGAATTTCAGCTTATAAATTATTTCTTTCACAGATCATGCTTTTGATGTTGTATCTAAAACCTAGGTCATCTAGGTTTTATCCTATGATATGTTCTAGGAGTTTTATAGTTTTGTGTTTTATGTTTAGGCCTGTGATCCATTTTGAGTTAATTTTGTGAAGCACGTAAAATCTGTGTCTAAATTCATTTTTTTGTATGTGGATGTCTAGTTCTAGCAACATTTGTTTAAAAGTCTATCTTTGTTCCATTGTATTGCCTTTGTTCCTCTGTCAAAGATCAGTTGACTATATTTAGGTGAGTCTATTTCTAGGCTCTTTATTCTGTTCTGCTGATTTATTTTTCTATTTCTTTGTGCATATAACACTGGCATGATCACTGTAGCTTTATGGTAAGTCTTGAAGTTGGGTAGTGTCAATCCTCTGACTTTGTTATTTTTCTCAATATTTTGTTGGCTGCTCTATATCTTCTGCCTCTCAATATAAAGTTTGGATTCGGTTTGTTGATATCCACAAAATAATTTATTGGGATTTTGATTGGGATTGAAAGTTGGAAAGAACTGACATCTTGACAGTGTTGAGTCTTTCTATTTATGAACATGGAACATCTATTTATTTAGTAGTTCTCTGATTGCTTTCGTGAGAGTTTTGTAGTTTCCCTATATAGATTTTGTACATATTTTGATCAACTTAAAGCATAATATTTTACTTTTTGGTGTGCGAATATAAATGGTATTATGTTTTTGTTTTTATCTTTGTTTAGAGACAGGGTTATGCTCTGTCACCCAGGCTGGAGTGCAGTGGCGCAATCACAGCTCATTGCAGGCTTGAACTCCTGGGCTCAAGTGGTCCTCCTATCTCAGCCTCCTGAGTAGCTGAGACTACAGGACAGCCTAATATTTCTTATTTCTTGTATGGCTGGCGTCTTACTATGTTTCCCAGGCCGTTTGAAAACTCCTGGCTTCAAGCAATCCTCCTGCCTCAGCCTCCTAAAGTACTGGGATTTATAGGGGTGAACTGCTGTGCCTGGCTGGTATTGTGTTTTTAATTTTGAATTCCACTTGTTCATTGCTAGTATATAGGAAAGCAATGACTTTTATATATTAACCTTGTATCCTGCAACTTTGCTGTAATTGCTTATTTTTTTTTTTTTTTTGAGACAGAGTCTCACTTTGTTGCCCTGGCTAGAGTGAGTGCTGTGGCATCAGCCTAGCTCACAGCAACCCCAAACTCCTGGGCTCAAGCAATCCTACTGCCTCAGCCTCCCAAGTAGCTGGGACTACAGGCATGCGCCACCATGCCTGGCTAATTTTTTCTATATATTTTTTGGCTGTCCAATTAATTTCTTTCTATTTTTAGTAGAGACGGGGTCTCGCTCTTGCCCAGGCTGGTCTCGAACTCCTGAGCTCAAACAATCCGCCCGCCTTGGCCTCCCAGAGTGCTAGGATTACAGGCATGAGCCACCGCGCCTGGCCTGTAATTGCTTATTAGTTCCAAGAGTTCTTTTTATTCATTTCTTTCAGATTTTCTGCATGGATGATCATGTTCTTTGCAAGAAAAAGAGTTTTATTTCTTTTTTTCCAGTCTGTATATATTTATTTCCTTTTTTCCTGTCTTATTGCATTAGCTAGGACTTCTAGTATGATGGTGAAAAGGAGTGGTGAGAGGGACATCTTTACCTTGTTCCTGATCTTAGTAGGAAAGCTTTAAGTTTCTTTCTTACAATTAAGTATGATGTTAGCTGTAGTTTTTTTGTATATTCTTTATCAAGTTTAGGAAGTTCTCCTCTATTCCTAGTTTACTGAGAGTTTTTATCATGAATGAGTGTTGGGATTTGTCAAATGCTTTTTCCACATCTATTGATGTGATCATGCAATTTTTCTTTTTTATCCTTATTGATATGATAGATTACATTAATTGATTTTTTGACTGTTGAACCAATCTTGCATATCTGAAATAAATCCCACTTGGTCATGGTATATGATTCTTTTTATACATTGCTTGTTTTGATTTGCTAATATTTTGTTGAGGATTTTGCATCTATATTCATGAGAGGCCTATAGTTTTCTTGTAATGTCTCTGTCTGGCTTTATTAGAGTAATGTTATCATCATAGAATGAGTTAGGAAGTATCTTCTCTGCTTCTATCCTCTGAAAGAGATGGCAGCAAATTGGTATAATTTCTTCCTTAAATGTTTGTTAGAATTCACCAGTGAACACATTTTGGCTTGGTACTTTCTGTTTTGGAAGTACCAAGGTATTTAATTATTGATTCAATTTCTTTAATACATATAGGCCTTTTAAGATTGTGTAAGTTATTCTTGTGTGAGTTTATTCTTGTGTGAGTTTTGGCAAAATATGTATTTCAAAGAATTGGTTCACTTCCTCTCTAGGTTATCAGATTTGTGGACATAGAGTTGTTCATAATATTCCTTTATTGTCCATAGAATGTGTAGTGATGTCCCTGTTTAATTTCTCATATTAGTAGTTTGTATACTCTCTCTTATTTCTTATTTAGCCTTACAAGAGACTTATCAATTTTATCTGTCTTTTCAAAGTGACCCCTTTTGTTTTTGTTGATCTTTGCTATTGATTTCCTGTTTTCATTGTCATTGATTTCTGCTCTACTTCTTACTATTTCTATTTTTCTGCTTATGTTGGATTCAATTTGTTCTTCTTTTTCTAGTTTCCTAAGTTGAAAACTTAGATTACTGATTTTAGATATTTTTCTTTTCTAATATATGCATCCAATGCTATACATTTCCAAAAATTGCTTTTGCTGCATTCCATAAGTTTTAGTAAGCTGTGTTTTCATTTTAATTTAGTTTAAAATGTTTTAAAATTTCTGTTGATGTTTCTTCTTTGTCCCATGTGTTATTTAAAAGCATATTGTTTAATCTTCATGTATTTTGGAATTTTCCACTTGTCTTTCTGTTATTCATTTCTAGTTTAATTCTGTTGTGATCTGAGAGCAGGCACTGTATGATTTCTATCCTTTCATATTTGTTAAAATGTGTTTTATGGCCCTAAATGTGGTCTATCTTGGTCAGTGTTGCATGTGTATTCTGCTGTTGTTGGATGAAGTAGTCTGTAGATGTCAATTATATCCAGTTGATTGATGGTGCTGTTGAGTTCAACGATGTCTTTACTGATTTTCTGTCTACTGGATCTGTTAATTTCTGGTCAGGGGTGAGGTGTTGAAGCCTCCAAGTACAATAATGGATTCATCTCTCTCTCCTTGCTCTTCTATTAGTTTTTCCCTCCTCATATAATTTGACATACTGTTGTCAGGTAAATACATACTAAGAATTGCTGTGTCTTCTTAGAGAATCGACCCCTTTATCGTTACGTAATGCCCTTCTTTATCCCTGGCAACTTTCCCTGATTAGAAGTCTGCTCTGCCTGAAGTTAATATAATTACCCCTGCTTTCTTTTGATTAGTGTTAGCATGGTATATTTTCTCCATCCATTTACTTTTAATCTATATATTTTTATATTTAAAGTGAGTGTCTTTCAGACAACATATAGTTGGGGTTTTTTTTTTTTTTTGGTCCACTCTGACAATCTCTGTCTTTTAATTGGTACATTCAGATGGTATTCACAGTGATTGTTGATATAAGTGGATTAATATTTGTTACTGTTTTTAGTTTTTGTACTTCTTTTTTTCCTTTTTTAAATCTTCCACTGTTTTTTATTGCCTTTTGTGATTTTAATTGAGCATTTTATATGATTACATGACAACCTGGTAAATGTCACTGTTCTTGATGTTTTATTTTGAGAATTAAAACTTAACACTTTTGACTTGCAAAGAGTTCCTAACTGTAAAGTATCTTTGATAAACACATTATTAGGTTTGGAATGGCAATGTCAACACAGATATAATTTTCTATATTTCTAAATATTAGTCATACCTTCTAGGTTCTTACCGCACATTAACACTTTAGTTATTGGCAACTACCTATTTTTCTACCACAGTTTTTTGGAACATAGTTCAGAACAAACAAATAAACATAGAAAGCTTCCCTCCAATTAGTCAAAGTTGATAGTGCAAAGTTTAAGCATTAATTCAAAGTAAAGCTTTTTGGGCTCCTACTCAAAGGTATGTTTTTTAAAATTATTATTTTAGACATAATATTAATATATTTATTATTTCCAGAATACAGCAGACAAGAAGCAGTGAATTGGGACTGCAGAGGGAGCCCACAGAGTACTAGCAGCAGAGAGAAGTAAAAGCTAATAGCCTAACAGTGAAAAAATGAGAATGAAAAGTGGATTCAAGAATTTAGCAAAAATAGAAGTGTACAGACAGTTAGTGTGCAGACATCAGCCTTTCATGCCCTTAGTGGCCCTTGGTCTTATGTCTGGGTTATAGAATGGAATAGGAATGAATGTTCACAGTAATCAGATGGCACGGAGTAGACACTTGATAAATGGTTGTTGAATGGGTTATTAAGAAAAGGCTAAGTTATCCTTGCTTAACTCTATTTATAGAATAGAGGGAAATATGTGACAGAGTTCCCTTTATTGTAGGAAAGTTTTCTTCAAAAATTTGTTATTATTATTTTGAAAAATCACATCTTTGGAACCTAAAGGGGTAACAGGAAAATCAACTTTTTTTTTTTTTTTTT